TATGAATAAGTATATGAATATGTGTATGCATAAGCATAAGTATATGACAAATGCATATTCATATACATATGAATAAGAATATGCATATATATATATATATATATATATATATATATATATATATATATATATATATATATATATATATATGCATATGCATACATATACATAAAAATAATTATGCGTATATTCATAAGTATATGCTAATGCATATGAATAACTATATGCATATGCATAAGAATTGGTATATGCATATGTATAAGAATTGGTATATGCATATGCATAAGAATTAGTATATGCATAAGGCAATTAAATACATATGATTATGTTTATGTATATGCATATGCATATGCATTTGTATATAACATATGTATATTCATATGCATATGAAGAAGGCTACGCATATGCTTATGCATATGCATAATATGACATATACATAAGAATAAGTATATTGACATTCATAAGTATATGAATATGAATATAAATGAGTATATGCATATGCATAAGAATAAGTATATGCATATGTATAAGAATAAGTAAATTATGAATATGCATATTAATTTTTAAAAAATAAAAAAATAAAAAAATTTCATTCCAGCGAAAATATTCTTTATTTTTCGAAAATAATATTTAAACACATTTTTAATAGACAAGATAACACATAATGATTTTATATTAGAAATAGATGGCTTCAAATCAAATTTGAAGTGCTTTTATGATCTCTGTTGGAAAATGTAATAAGTGAGCCTATAATTAAAAAGGGAAATGAAAATGAATTGATCAATTGAAATATCAAGTTTTAAAGAAATCTTGCCTCAATTATAACAATATCATATTTGATGAAAATCTTTGATAATCCATTAGAAATAGGCTACTCTAAACTCCACTGATTGTGCCAAAAACGTGTCAACTTTGGAGCTTAATAAGTCGATATCCGTAGCTAATTACAAATAACTTTATAAAGTAAAGTTACAGTCTATACAACTAAGAGTACACAGAAAAAAATTGAACAAAACAGATGTGTGACGAATGATATATGGTTGTTTGAAGTTGGTTGTTCAAACACATGAAAATGCTGAAACGTTCAGACCGCCTTTGTTCACGATTGAATAACTCTGGATCTAGAAAAACAGAGATGAAGCATTTAATATGTAACTTGTAGTACTCCTAACAGGTTTCCAACGATATAAAGTTTGTCCGAGTCGGAGTTCGTATGGTCGAGTTATGATGCTAGAAAGACACGGACAAATTATAAGAAATTGATGGGAATTTTTCCTAAGGCATGAAACAAAGGGGATTTTTGTAATTTTATAAAATTCAACAATGTGAAAATATAATCAGATTTCAATTTTTTTTGTTGGATCAGATGTGATAGAAAAGGAGAATCCAATATGCGTGAGTGTGCTCAATTAGATGCAAAGAAAAAGAAAAAACAATGAACACATATCAATAATATTTCATTTTTTTAATAAGTGAAAACATCATAAATGGTCACTGCGGTAGTGAAATGACAAAAATGCTCTTCAGTTAACGGATAAAACTTAACGGAGTTAGCAATAAAAACCAATCGTTAAAAGTTTTGAAAGCACAAAGGCCATCTATGATGTTTTTAAACCACAGGTACTAAACTTCAGATCTGGAGAAACCACAGAGACCATTTATGATGTTTTTCTAAATTCAGCTAATATGTCACATCATACTAGTATTTATGTATGTAATATTATCATTTGGTTCATAATAACCAAAAAGGATCATTTAATTTTTATTTTACAGTTAGTGTCTATTTCATTTATAAGGTAAAAAATTTGAATATTTATATGAATGGGATAATGCAAATAAATCATTTCATAGTTGATGTAAATACATAAGCACCAATGTGAAATGACCACTTTCAATTTCATAATTAATAGAGTGATTTAGTTTAAGTTATATCAAACTATGATTGATGCTTCAACGATTTTATTAAAAGTACTTACGAATTCCTCATTTCATGATTACTAGAGTGAACTGGTTGCCAATGAGGGACTAGCCCAGTTATTAGATGCTTTACATCTTAGATTGGAGGTCCTGAGTTTATTGCAAACGTTGACAGATTTTACTAACTTGGTAATACTAACTTCTAACTACTAACCGTCCGTTAAAAAAATAGAGTGATTTGGTTGAAGTTATTGCAAACCATTGTTAACGCTTTAACAATTACTTTTTTTAAAGAAAGACGTAATAATTCCTTATTTCAGTTAAATCCTATTGAAATATATTGTTTTAAAATTCGTTAATGTTTAATCCATAGTTTTTAATATTTCTTTTTTAAATCAACCAATGTAATACATAAGTTTTAACGGAAGTAGATAAGATATTGTGAATGATTCATTAAGTTCTTCCATGTCGGGTAAAAATGCAATGTTCTAAGATTAACAAAAAAAACATGATGTTAAGTGTTCAAACATATGATATTGAAGAAACAACAATATTTACAAACTAGCTATTATGTATAGGAGAAGGAAATGTTGGTGGTTTAAATGATGACGACAATTATTGATTTTCTGAATTATCATCATCAGTGATTCTGTTGATCCTATTGATTCATTAGTTGTATATGTCTATTTATTTCAAAATTATACTTTAGAAAATACTTAATATTTATACCTTGATATTTGATTTTTTTTTAATCAACTCATGTACTATACGGGTCTCACACCTAGTTTATATAACAAATAAAAATACACTTTTCAGCTTTCAACTTTCAGTGTCTAATTTCTAATTATCGCTAGTTTTGTCAAATATATAATTTAATTTTTTTCAAATAATTTGTTATAATAGTACATTCTTTCTAATGTACGAAGGATTTTTTTTCACGTCCTCAATGTATCTCAATTCACACTTTGCTATACATCATTTAACAACCAATCTCATACCCATGTGATTCTTAAATAACGCAGAAGAAATACATTTTTTTTCAAAGCAACATCAGAGAAGCGAAGAACCAATATTTTGGAAGATTCTTGGTTAACACAAAATATAAAATATAACATACATATTAAAACCAAAAATTAAAACAATTTGATAAATTCATATATTTAAACATTATAAAACCTAATATTCAAAACATAAACCATAAACATAAAGCTATCAATATTATAGAAAAACACACATTCAAAAAATAAACAATACATGTTGCATTATCGAAAAACATAAGTACATTAAAAAATAAACAATACATGCATCGTTTTGTACAATCGATACTTCTAATTTGAAAGATAAGACTATCAAATTTTATAGGAAAATAAAACTAAAAAAGAGTTTTAAACCGGATAATAGTAATTAAAAAAAGTATTTACCAAATCCTTGTTGTTTAAATTTTATTTACCAAGTACTTGTGTTTTCAACTATAACCACATTATAACCCGCGTTAAACGCGGGGGAACGTATTAAAAAAATAACCAAAACATTTATATATATTGCATAATAATTATAAAAGAAAGTTTATGGCTATTGTTATTATTGAAAGGTGAAGAATAAACACTTTAATCGATAAATAACTATAAACGTTGCAGGACCTCTTTGTAGACAACGTTTTTTGTTTTATTAGTTGAACGACCTTCCTCATCACATATGAGTACCTTCAAACCTTTTTTGCTTGTTATACGAGAAACAGCTACATATAACTGACCATGTGTGAAGACATGTCTATGTAAGTATAATCCAACATTTGATAATGACTGTCATTGACTTTTGTTAATGGTCATAGTGAAACAAACTGCTATTGGGAATTGCCTACGTTGAAAACGGAATGGAAGTTTTTTATCGGATAGGGTCAACTTCATGCGAGGTATGTAAGTAGTCTCGTTGAAAAATCTACCAGATGTGATTCGTGCTTCAATGACGTGTCTTCCAAGCCTTACGATTTGTAATCTAGTACCATTGCATAGTCCTCTGGTTTGGTCAATATTACGAAGCAACATGACCGGAACACCTTTTTTAGTATAAGTTTATGGTTGGGAATTCCGGAGGCCTAAAAAGCGTTCAACACATCCGGAGAGTATACTAATTCCTCAAAAGAATCTTCTGTCTCGGTCTCACATAAGGAATCTGAACTCAGATATGTTTTCCCTTCATCTTTCATCAATTCTAACATGTAGTTGTTGATAGCATCAACTTCTTCATTAGTAGGGACCAAAATAGCTTTATCTTGAAAATACGATGGATCATCAAGATGGTTCTGAAAAGATGAATAAATGCAGGATACAATTGAATGAATATGGTCACCCGTAGAGGGAACGATCACATCTTCTGGAAATTCAACTTCAACTTCACCATCATTAGGAACACCGATAGTACCTTCACCAATTTTAAGAATCCAATCAGCAAATGATTTTGTCTCTTCGAAATCATTGTTTGGACAACCGAACTGAAGCCTCATGTTTACAGTCAAACGTAAAACTGTACATTCACGCCATAATCTTGATGAATGCAATGATGCCTACACAATATCTGAACGATTTCCTCTTTGTATTACTGGTAGAATTTGTCGAAAGTCACCTCCAAATACAATGGTCTTGCCTCCAAATGGTTTATCATTGTTCTTTGGAAAGATAATATCTCTAAGTGTCCTATCAACTGCTTCGAAACAACGACGATGCATCATTGGGGCTTCGTCCCAAATTATAAGGCTTGCTTTGTTCAACAGGGCAGCTACATCGTTACCCGGCGTAATAGAACAAAACGAATTCTCATTCACGTTAATTGGTATATGAAATCTTGAATGCGCTGTCCTACCACCAGAAAGCAAGAATGCTGCAATTCCGCTTGAAGCAACATTAATAAATACTGCACCTTTAGATCTAATAGCAGCAGACAATGTCTTCCAAACAAATGTTTTTCCTGTTCCTCCGTAACCATAGAGGAAAAAGACACCACCTTTTTTGTTGTTAACTGCATTCATAATCATATCATAAACATTTTTTTGCTCGACATTTAATTTTGAATGTAGTTGTTGATGTTCAGATAGATTCAAGACTGGACAAATCATAATTAAGCTCATCTTGAATTAACATATTGCAAGAATCTTGAATATATTTGTGATCAGATAATGGCATATTGGGTATTTGCTTAAGACTCAGTCCACAGCTCAATAAAGATTTCTTAATGTACGACAACGTTAGGTGGTAAATTGCTTCCGGTTTTAGCTTCAAGCCTGAAAACAATACAAAGTAATGAAATAATTTATTTATAATATCAATTAAAGTGGGAACGTTTTTTTTGTGTGAATGTACCTTTCACGCCTATTTCTTGTTCACGAACGTGAACAACATCATCAGAAAGACAATTATATGTCTCTTTAAAAACATGATGAGGTCGGGATAGACTATCTGATGTAATCAACATAACGAATAGAGACCTGCAGAAAGAAGCGGTGGCCCAATGATGTGTTTCTTGTATAGAAGATATGTACTCTCTGTCATCGTCTAATAGACCAAGAGCGTAGCAAGCATCTTTGTAAGAGTCATAAACGGTCCCATTAACCGTTCTAATATCTTCATAGCAAGTAGGACCCTTTACTTTGTTGAGCAAAATGCGCAAGTAATAAACATCACCAGACTTGGGAGACACATGATTAATTCTTCCAAGTGACTTTGTCTTTGTTTTTCTTCTTGTCCATACTTTATCTGATTTATTCCAAACATATTGAGTTGGAAATTCAACATAGGATAACTCCCTTGCCTTTTCGTCGTAGCTATTACATTCCATCCAGGCCAAAAATTGAGAAGCAGCAATAGTTGGTTTAGAAACAACATTAGTAACATTAGTAACACGTTGGGATGGTTTAAACACAACAGGTTGTTTGTCTTGTAGGTGAAACGACAATCTTTCAACAGGTGGTGTTCTATAATGAATGTCATACCTAAAAAGTCTCCAACATGCCTCACAAGCAGAAATATAACGACAATTGTAATACTCAACAATTTCGTCACGATCGTTATTTTCTTTATGTTGTTTTTTGTTATTTTTGGCGTCGTAAAAAGACGCGGTGATCCTGTCTGGACCTTTGTTAATATACTTAAAAATGTACTTTATCGATCCAAGCTGATTACACCACTCAAGATTCATATGGGCTTGGTATTGCTTTAAAAGTGTCTTATTATATGGAACAACATATCTGAAAAAAGAAACAAAATGTCATAAAGAAAATTAAGATCATTTAACATATCTTTCATATAAAAGATAACATTTATAAGGAAATAAATGTTTATATAAAAAAAATTTAATTTTTATACCTATTGTCCAAAGAAAATCCATTTTTCACGACATTGTTTCCGTTGTCGCGTCTTCGGTAAACTGGATAACCATCATCATCAATATATGTTTCATTTGTAAAGTCTTTTGGAAATCCTTTAGAACATTTGCCATTTTTCATACATGGCATAAATGGAAAATCATTGCCGCAAGGTCCATGTATCATGTTGTCACAAACAATTTGATACAAATCTGGTTCAAGTTCCTTGTCTGGCAATTCAGCACATATAACGCGATCTATGTCTTCAGGATTTGGAAGTTTAGACTTTTTTTCTAAAAATAGGCATATGTGACAATGTGGAAGACCCCTTTTTTGAAACTCGATCGTATATATAACTATATGATGCAAATATGTACTCTGGTTAACGCATGATATTATAAAATCAAAATAAAATAAAATGAATAATGAGATTTTAGATTTATACCTCCATCGACTTCACCCAAAATTTTTTCTTCCTTGAGTCTAGTGATTAGTGAATCAAGTTTTATTTTGAATATTCTTGTCAAAATATCGGGCCTGTCTTCGGGTTTAAGATTTTCAGATTCAACAAATCTAATTACATCTGGCCATTTAGGATTACATGTAACGGTTAAAAAAAGATCAGGATAACCAAACCACTTAACCAAATTCATTGCATCTAAGTAATTCTGTTGCATGTAACGGCTGCCACCAGTAAAAGAAGACGGAATAATAATATGGTTTCCCATCGCAGAAGCATCTTCACTTCCTTCTTAAGCAGCCTCGGCCAAGTCTCCATAAGGAGCTACACGTAATGTTGGTTGGTTAAACCGAATATAATTTAGCCGGTCATTTTCAACCATTGTATACGAATCAACCAAAAACTGTTGGAAGAGTTTTCTTGAACGTAATATCAAAGATATTTCATTAGTTCTCTGTTGTATACGATAAGCAAAAAACTCTCGCATTGTCAGTGTTATTCGTCCTTTGGAGTTTGGTTCTTCAACACCACGATGTAATATATCTAATCGAAATCCATCTTCGGCATAAGGGAACAATAAAGGATATTGAAGTGAAAGATATTGCGGATGCAACTCATTAATGCGTTGAAGTTGACGACTTTGAGTTTCCAAAACAATATCCCGTGAATCGGAACCGTCAATGTCACCTACAATAAGTGCAGCAACCTCACTTGTGGTAGGAAGATTATACTGTCTACCGTCCTTTTCTCTTGTCCCAATTAATTTAAGCCTAATACGCTCTGTTGGATTCGATCCAAATCGATCACGTGCCATTCTAAATTGCTTAACTAATGGATTTATAAAATCCAATAAACCCATTAGCTCATGAACAGTCAAGAACTCCAGTGAAAAAGGATTTCCCATTGAATTATGAGATGTTGACTTTTTCTTTTTTGAACTACATTAATAGGAAAACAAAATCATGGATATAAATATTATGAGACATAATAAAAATTTTAAACATATATATATATATATATATATATATATATATATATATGTGTGTGTGTGTGTGTGTGTGTGCGTGCGTGTGTGTGTATGTGTGTGTTTGTGTGTATTTAATGCTATTATATAATAGAATGTATTTACATACTCGTATGCATTGAATCTTTTGTCAATCTCGTGATCTGTATCGTATATATACAATTGGCAAAATTTCGGTAATTCACCTTCCTCTGGTAGTAAGCTGCCTGCAATATGATAATTTTGTCCATGCATTCGATAAACATAATGACCACCTCCAGAGTTAATGGCATGATCAGTCTTACCAGCCATAGATGTAAATGCAAACATCATATTGTATCTACGAATAGGCATGATCAGTCTTACCAGCCATAGATGTAAATGCAAACATCATATTGTATCTACGAATATTTTTTATAAAGTTCTGACTTTTTTCAGTAACTCCGCTATATAAATCAAGCAATAACTGAGGTGGATGAATCAAGTTTGGTAATTCTACTTTTCCATTGTAACAACATATGGAATAAGAGGTTTTCCTTAAATCTTTATTTCCTCTTATTGCTTCTTCCTTCCAAACCCTAGCTTTACATACAGAGCAAACGTATACCGCATCACCAGAATCCAAATAATCTATAAAGAAAAAAAAAGTAATCAAATAATATATACTATAAGCGTAATATGAAAAGGGTGACATCATATTGAAAGGATAATTTTCATTGGATAACCAAAATTTTTAACTTTAAATAGAAAGAAACAACACCTTTACTTATGCCAATACACTTAGTCTGGGTGTCAATCTGTACATCATTTTCAGCAACTGAATTATAAGGCACGGATGTTTGTTTCTTTTTTCTTGGTGCTGGAAAATAAACATAATTTAAATTATTAATAAGACAAAGAATATTTATAAAATTAAGTGCAAAAATGTATAAGTGGACGTATTAACAAAATAGATGATAACATACCTTGGTAATCAACCTTATCAGTATAACCGCAGGAAGGTTGAGAATGAATAATAGTATTGCTTGAGTTCTCCACAAAATCTTCATTCAAATAAAAAAAAAGAATATCCTTTGAGCTGTTTTCGTTTCCCTCTTGTCGTTTTTATTGTGTTATTTTCTTGAAATGTAGCACATTTTTTTGAAAAAATAATGATTAGATAAGATCAATGATTGTGTTGGTAATAATTGTGAAGTAACTTTTAAACGTGAAAAAAAGGAATAAAGTGAAATATAGCAAATGTAATTATATGATAAAATAAAAAATACTATGTATTAATTAATAATGACATAATTTGAAATATATGACCATAGTTCAGATAGGTCTTGCCTGCGTTGAAAGTTGTTGCATTTTGAATTGTTTGGTGATTTGAAATTGGCAACGTACTTGAACTGTTTATAGCTGTTCATTGGTAATTTTTTATGTTACTAAATAATGAATGTATTAAAGTTTTTATATTATCTAAATTGTTTAGGTAAACCTAATAAAAAATAATTATGAAAAACTTACCTTGACCGGTGATATGTGACAGTGGTGACCTTGAGGTAATTAATGAATGTTGTTGATTTTGTCGTATACGGTTATGAGAGGATGATGTTGAAGGTGATGGAGTAACTTCCCGAGTAACTGGAGAAACATGCGTTATGAAGATACGATTTTCTGGAAAAAAAAATGAATTGTAAAAGACAATGAAAATATGAATATGGATATGTAATATTAAAGTACATATATTGAAATTAAATTTATAATTATTTAAATACAAAAAATATGATAAGTAGTAATATAACAATAGGATAACTATTACCAGAGTTGTGATGCGTCCTTACATCCTTGAAAGTTGTTGCATTTTTGTTTGTTTGGACATTTGAAGTCGGCGACGTATACAAACCGTTTATAACTGTTTATTAGTATCGTAACAGTTATTAAATTTGGAAAAATTAATAGTCTTTATATGGTTTTGACTGGCAGTTAGAGAATAATATAAAAGTAATTATTAATAATTAACCTGATTGGTTATTTGTGAAAGTGGCGACCTTGATGAAATTGTTGTAGGTTGCAAATTTGGTTGTAGGACGTTATGGGATGATGAGTTTGAATGTAATTCCGGGCATTTTCGAATAACTCGACAATTAGTAGGGATGTAGAAATTATTTTCTTCAAAAAAAATAATAAGTATGATAAAGGTGGATGAAATGAAAATATATTAGATATTAAATATGAAATTTAACGGGATTATATATTACATAAAAAGGAAATCAATAAATTATATGTATTGAACATCTAATGATAATATTTAATTAAAAGTTTACCGTTTGTGATGTTCGACAGTGGTGGGCATGACGATGTTTTTGATTTGGTTCTTCCATTGTTGGTATTCATATATGTTGTATACCGTAGAATGTAAGATGAAGTACATAAAGTTGGAGAGAAGAGTAAATGCATAAATGGATATCATAACACACCATAAAAATTATTTTACAAAGAATGGAATTAAACCATATTGGTGAAGAAAATAACGAATTAAAGTTGGTTAACAAATATAGATAGTTTACAATTTTTTTACTTTCAAGTATGAATTATGGACTTTGTTTAAGTATGTTGACTTCCATTATTTTTGTATTTTTGATTTATAATGAATTTTTATATATTTGTTTTCTGTTAGTTTTTTATATGTTTTTTGTTGACACAAATCTATTTAAATGAACACAATTACACTTTTGAATGTAAATAAAATAAACCTAATTAAAAACTATAAATCACAGAAAAATAAGTATAAACAATGAAATGAGTACCTTTTTGCCTTTGATTAACCAAGCTAACAATTGTTTACTGCTATAGAAGGTTGTAGAAAGGAAGAAGTATTGATTTAGTATCGTGAATATCAATATAAATAAAGAGGTAAAAACATAGATAAAAATACAATAAAATACCCACTTTTTGCAGGAGCGTGGAAGGAAAAATAAGAATAGGTTTTGGCGAAATATGTCATATATGTATTGAATCGAAGTTGGTTTTGGAGGGATAAGATAAAAGTCATTTTAATCTTATCCCTTAAATGTTGAATTTCAAAATGTAGTTAGCATAGATAATGTAGAACATTTTAGGATTATTTTTTAAAATTTAAAATTAGGATAATGTTGATGGTTAGTGTATTGAATCCAAGTTGGTTATGGAGGGATAAGATAAAAGTCATTTTTATCTTATCCCTTAAACTAGATTATGACCCGCGTAAAACGCGGGGAACGTATAAAAAAATACATATAAAGTCATAAAAAACCAACACGATATTAAAAAAAAAAGATAAAGTAATAGAAACACACTTCGCGTTATTGATTATATTGAAAAGTTTAAAAAATAAAAGGAAATGTCTTAATATCTATGATCATTGAATGACCTCTTTGTAGACAACATTTTTTTTAATAAATGATGGCAATATTCAGTATGGAATCAGTTTTTTCAAAAGTAATAAAAGTAAATAACAATGTACTTTGAAAGTATATTGCTATAAGTTGTAAAGTTGTTTTTCTATAAAGTTGTAAAGCATTTTTCTTAAGTAACATAATTACAGCAATGTACTTTCAAAGTACATTGCTATATAGTAACCTGGTGTTTTTTTTTTAAATTAACAGAAATTGTCCCTATTAACATATTTAAAGTAAACAAAAATGTACATTGCTATCATTTATAAAATTGATAATAACAATAACATATTTGAAGTTTTATGAAAGGGGTAAACAATAATGCACACTTTGATTGGAATCAAAAGAGAGATGACAAAAGAAGTTTAATTCCAAACAAAATAATTTCCTAAAAGTTTACAATTTCATAAAAAGTGGTAGTTTTCTAATATTTATATTGAAGTTGTAGTGAATAACATTGTAACAATATTGACAAATTCATATTTAAACAGAATAATAGAGTAAAAAATGATTAAAATTCTAGATTCATCTGAGTTTAAACCCAAAAGGAAAATAGATGAATAATTCAAAATTTCATAAAAAAGAAAAATACTTCAACCTACATGGTATTCTATTTACCCATTTGGTTATCTCACAGATCCCATGATATCACGAGCAATTATCTCAAATATCCTCTACAGATTTTGATCCAATTTACGGGTATATATGTATCTTACCTACATGTTATTTTATTTACCCATTTGGTTAAGATCCTCTGCAGAGAAAAAAAGAAAAATGCTTCAACCTTTCAATCACTTTCATTTGGAAAATATATATGTATGTGGTTCTTCCTTAATTTTCTATTCCTATCTCATTTTATATCTATGTGTGTATGTCCTGTATCTGCTTAGTTGGTTTGTACTCTTCCTTTTTTATTGGTTTTCCATCAACTTCATGTTCCTATGATTTTTCAATTGTACTTCCTATTGGGGTTTGTTTGACCCCATTGTAGTAATATGATAAACATAAACATGTTGATAAAAAGCAATATGGCAAAACTGTATTTTTTTCGTTTCAATGTTTATGTGTATTTTGGAATTAAAACAATAAATGTGTTAATTGAAAGTTTTAACTCCATTGTCGATGCCTTAGCAATTTTTAACAATAAATGTGTTTGGAAAAGGGCATATGTATGTGAAAGTTTTAACTACATGCAATACAGTACAGTAAATGCATGATGCCATGTTCTTTCTCTCAAAGCTTCCTTGAGCTGTTAATTTTCTACGGAAGTAAGCTTTCAATATTCCATTATGTTTTACTAAATATGTTTATTGGGTACTTGTTTAAAGTAAACATGTTTCTTTCTCTCGGTTTGATAGATAAACCTACAAAAACCCAAAAAATGTGTATATCTATCAGAAACTACATGCAATACCTTTAAGCATCTTCTTTGTCACATATTCACTACATGCAAATTTGGATATTCACTACATGCAAATTGGGTTAAGACCATCAGAGATGCACCCCATCTTGATAAACTTTGTAATACACTGCTAACATTGCCACATCTCATCTCTATATTATGTATTATATATGCTTTTCGAAAATGAGTTGTTATTTTTTTTGTTATTGATTTTGAAATTAAAACAATAAATGTGTGTCTGTACGTGTAGCCCTTTTCTAGAAAATGGCAAATCTGTCTTTTTGGTGATGTGATTCTATCCGATATTTAATACAATAAGACAATATTTGTTATTTTTTGCTATTTCTTTTATAGTTTATATTTTAAAATATCAATGTCGTTCTATATGTATGTGTACTCCAAAAACTCTAGTTCTGTCCAGCTTCATGTTGGTAATTCCCTTTAATAAATTTTTTGTTATAAAAAAATTGTTATTGCTTTTAAAAGGAGAGTACAAAAGTACATTACTCTCCTTTATGTTTATGTTGTATTGTTCTTTCTAGAACCCTTTCAAATTCAATGACAAAGATTCACGAAACATATAATTGTGTTAGTAGAATGTATTTGGAAGGGCATTTTGGTATTTTCATTAATAAAAAAAATAATGAAATTGAATATATATATATATATATATATATATATATAGATATATATATATATATATATATATATATATATATATATATATAGAGAGAGAGAGAGAGAGAATAAAATTATAAAAATATCAACATGTGTTTCGCTCGTAGACTAAAAAATACAAACCTCCGCTTTATTGACATTAGATTCAGTCTCAAAACTATCTTATTCAATCATCTAAAAAAAACTAACAAAAAAGCCATTGAATTCACAAACTGGCCAAAACTGGTTGTTTGGCAGCTGGCTTGTTTGATAGATTGGGGCAGGGTACCCCGACCGGGTCAGTAGTGTCTGGAGTTGACTTTACGAATTGTCACCACCTGGACCACTTTCCACCCTGGACACTGGCGGCAGTTGTGGCGGTTGGGTTTGTGGTGGTGGTGGATTGATCTTCAGGGAGGAGTAAGCGCACGCCGATAAAAGCTCGTGGTGGGTGTGTAAATCCAATTTGGGATTCAATAGCTGACATGAAAATTTGGGATTCAACAACCGATACATTACTTACTTTATATTGGAATAACTCATCGAGATCTTTTCTTAAAGTTGAGATACATTTCAGCCAATAAAGGTTCCATGAAGAACTCCAAGTATCCTCCCAACATTTTCAAGTGCCCATCCTGTTTCATATCATGGAATGGAATGGAATCATAAAGGAATGGAATAAGAAAAGGTAATGGAATGAGGAAAGGTAATAGACTCATTATATCGCCTTTTGTATGCTTCCACCAAACAGTAGCATGATGGAATCAGAAACACCAGTTGTATCCCGGAGAAAAACAGAGTTCACTTTGATCTTTTCATTAAAGACCAACCACAGGAATTGAATTCTCAAATCCCGGGAATTAACCGAGTTCTATAGCAATAAAAAAAAAATTTCAGATATATATATATATATATATATATATATATATATATATTATATATATATATATATATATATATATCAAGGTTGTCAAGATCAGGATCCTACGCAGGATCGTTTTTGGGTTTGCAAGATCGGGATCGGGATCCTAAGATCCCACAAAATAAAAATATAATTTTAATTTATAATTTTTAATCATGAAAAATAGTTCAAACATTCACTTTTTTGTTCAAAAGTTATAAAAACTTCAAAATATTAGTCATAAGTTGCAACACAAAATGATAAATACTAAATTGGTAAAGGGTAAAAGACATAAAGTGGTAAAAAAAAAAAAAAAAATTAAGGGAGGTAGGATCGGATCGGATCTCGATACTACTTGCGATCCTACCTGCGATCTTACCCCTTTTACGATCCAAATCGTTTTTCATACCTAGGATCGTACGATCAGGATCGCGATTTTGACAACCATGATATATATATATATATATATATATATATATATATATATATAGAGAGAGAGAGAGAGAGAGAGAAACTTACCGAGTGTAAAAGCACCTGACCATCCTCCATTGTTTTCAGTGAGAATGACTTCTCATTATGATGATGTCAGCAAAAACGATTATTATTTATAAAGAAATTAATTTAAAAAAAAACTTACGACGATGGAGGAATTTCCGGGATACAAGTCATAGCAGATAACTGCACGAATGAGATTTTCATCATAACTTCAAGCATTGAAAATGACCATATTGCCCTCGACAAGACCAGTATCTTGAAGCAAAGATAAAAATTGCCTTATCAAAAAATCAATAGCTTTCATGGACTGAGCAGACAGAAAATTCTTCTAACAATATTCATATCCACCAAGTGCATATTCAGCCACTTTCCAACCCTCATACACCCTCACAAGGGCAAAATGGTCACTATGATCTCGCGAAAAATTGCGCTTTATACGCCTCTGTACAAAAAGACCCATTATTTTCATATAATATAAATTACTATTATAAAAAGAGACTTACATCTTTTTTATCTAAAAGCGTTAAAAAGGATCTTTGACTAAGTCCAGCAACAACTGTGCATTGGATCAAGGCAATTAAGAATTGCTCCCAAAATAAGCATTTTTCCAAGTTTTGGCTCCACAAGAAGCAAGTACGGTTAGATCTTCATTCTCATCTAAAGCACAAATAACCTTGAGATACTTAATTGCACTTTGAACCTACAAATGGGAAATAATAAGTATGATATTTTTTCCTTTTTATATATAGATAAATCCATTGAAAATGAGGTAGAGAATTACTGCTAATAACTCTGGTGATTGTAGAGCTTTAGATAAAAATTCAGAAATACTTCCAAGTTCTAAAGTTTTTATTTGAAGATAAAGTGACTAAAGAGACGTTCTTAGTATTTCTGGCAACTGATATTCTGCAAAAGCATTGAAGACACATTGAGGGTATAAATGGTAACATTCTCCTAGCTGAACACGCCCTACTCGACCTCGCCTCTGTTAATCATATAAAAAACAATATAATCAAATGATATAGAAAATATAAAATTACCAAAATACCCTAACCAAGAAACTCACTTGTTTAGCAAAAACTTTTGATATCCAAGCAGGAAGGAGACAAGGGTTATTATTCAAAGCATCATATGATGTTTCTTTGGCTTTTCCACAATCAGTAACAAAAACCACATCATCTATTGTGATACTTGTTTCAGCCATATTTGTAAAGGATATATTCCGTCATATCTTCTATTTTTATTCCTTGTTTGAGTTTCCTAGTTTATTCCTCTTTTCTAGCTAGGTTCTCTTTTAAATGATCGGCCTGTATTCTTTCTCTCTTCAATGAAAAACAGAAATTGGTTTGGCTTATAGAATTTTTCATGGTATCAAAGCAGGTTATTTGCATCCGATAACCAGATCATCACGCCACCATGAGCGGAGAAAATAGCGATGGAGGAAAGAAACAGGAAGGTGAAGCCATTGACACCAATTCGCCATTATACATTCACCCATCTGACTATCCTAAGCAGATGCAAATGAATGACATATTGAACGACAACAACTACAATGAATGGAAGCAAGAGATGATTAACTTTCTCTTGGCGAAAAACAAGATGGGCTTCATCGACGGGAGCGTCAAGAAACCGGAAACGAACTCACCCATGCACATGGCCTAGATCCATGCGGATGCCATGGTCAAGGGTTGGCTAACAACGGCTATGGAAAAGGAGATACGCACGAGCGTGAGATACGCTAACACCTTGTCAGAAATCTGGAGAGATCTTGAAGAAAGGTTTGAGAAAGAAGGCGCACCAAGGGCATACGAATTGAAGCAACTATTAAACACAACCCGACAAGGAGGTATGTCTGTTTCGAATTATTATACCAAATTGAGATCTGTTTGGGATGAACTCCAAGTTGTTTTGCCTACACCTCGATGTAAATGTAATGGGTGCACCTGTTCAATTGGAAAGCAATTGAATGGAGTAAAAGAGAAAGAAAGAACCTATGAATTTTTAATGGGACTCGATGATATTCTCTGTCATTCGAACCCAAATCTTGGCCACAAAACCAGCACCATCTCTTGGTGCGACTTATCATTTGGTAGCCGAAAATGAGCAGCAAAGGGCAATTACGGGCGGATCAAAAAGGCCGGGGTCGGAAGCCGCTGTCTTTCAAGCCAACTATGGTGCTGAAAAAACGCAACGACAGTCACAAACCAAGCAAACTAATCTGATGTCGTCTAAGACAAACACCAGGGTCACAAGAGCTGATAAAGAAAAAAAAGAAAAATGCAGTTTTTGTCAAAGGGAAGGACACGTGAAGGAAGGATGTTTTAAACTAAATGGTTATCCCGAATGGTGGCCTGGAACGAAGAACAAAGAGAAACCGAAGGCTGCGATGGCTGCCAGCCCTGTTCCCGGTCTGACGGATGAGCAGTACCACATGTTTGTTACCCACTTCAAGGACAACGGAGGTATGGCAGAAAATACGTCTCAGCCAAGAGCGAATATGGCAGGTAAGGTTAACAATTCTAACAGTTGGGTGGTCGATTCGGGTGCCACCGAACACATGACCTATAAAAGAGATTTTCTTAAAAACGAGACCCACAACCCAAAGAGTACACCCGTTGTTGTTCCCAATGGTGACAGGGTACCTATTGTGGGTGAAGGAGATCATGATCTTGCTGGAGGGATTAGAATTCGAGGAGTTCTACTTGTGCCAAGTTTCAATTATAATCTTCTTTCGGTTGGCAGATTAACCAATGAGCTTAACTGTGCTGTTACTTTCTTTCCTGGTTTCTTTGTTATGCAGGAATTGGGGACGAAGCACTTGATTGGAGCGGGTAATCGCGTTGAAGGATTGTATCGCATGGGGGCAATGAAGACAAATAAAGCTCTCTTGACAACCTTCGAGACTTGGACATCCTTCACCCAAGAAAGTTTCTCGTTTAGATTTTATTCCTTCTCATAAGAACATTTTAAATTGTGATGCTTGTTTAAAGGCGAAACACACTAGGGTACCCTTTCCTACTAGTGAAATAAAAACAATCTCTTGTTTTGATATGATACATTGTGACATATGGGGGAGATATATGACTCCCTCAACTAACAAGGCATTTTATTTTTTAACTATTGTTGACGACTACAGTAGGGCGGTTTGGACCTTTTTACTAAAACATAAGAGTGAGGCAAGCACCTGCCTCATGGATTTCTGTAAGATGGTCAAAACTCAATTTGAAAGGCAAATCAAGCGTGTTAGATGTAACAATGGTGGCGAGTTCGTATCTAATGCCATGCATGATTTTTACGCCGAAGAAGGTATCGTTTTAGAAACCTCTTGCCCCCACACCCCGCAGCAAAATGGGGTGGTCGAACGCAAGCACCGCCACCTTCTTGAGACCGCAAGGGCCTTAAGGTTCCAAGCTAACCTACCTAAGAGTTTTTGGGGTGAGTGTATTTTGACCGCCACGTACGTGATAAACCGAATGCCCTCAAAAGTCTTACATGGAGCCACTCCTTATGAGCTTCTATTTAATGAAAGGCCTTCCTATGAACACATGCGAGTTTTTGGTTGTTTGACTTATCATCGTAGCGTGGAAACAGGGGGTGATAAATTTGAACCACGTGGAAGACCCGGAATAATTGTTGGATACCCACAAGGTACCAAAGGTTATAAAATCTTCGATCTAGAGAATAAGAAGATCATTGTTTCAAGAGACGTCCGATTTATTGAAGATCAATTTCCCATGCACACCCTCAAACAAAACAATAACTCAGAACTTGATGATTTATTCCAACTAGAAAAAGATACCGATTTGGTGCAACCCACTCCTCACACCAATCAACCCACAAGTGACAATAATGAGGCCCAAGTCTCCTCGCCAGATTCGCCTAGTCAAAACCGACCAGATCACGTCCCAAGCCCACATTCCGCTGTGCATCAGGACCACATGCCAAGCCCACATTCCACTGAGCAACAGGTACACACACCGAGCCCAGACAGCTCCTCTAATCATTCGGAGCCTCCAAATGTAGTCCGGCCCACTCGCACGCGCGTCCAGCCCATCCGCTATCAGGACTACGAAATCAATTTGCCCCCATCGATCGATCATGCGCCTCCCGCTGCCGGTCACGCTGCTTCTACGGTACATCCCCTTTCCAATTTCATCTCATACAATAATTTTTCTTATTCTCACAAGGCTCTTCTAGCTGCTATTGTTACCCATAATGTGCCCAAAAGTTTTAAACAAACAACTCAAAATCCGGAATGGCGTGATGCAATGAAAAGGGAAGTTCAAGCCTTGGAAGCAAATAACACCTGGGAACTTGTTACCTTACCGGAAGGAAAGCATACCATCGACTCCAAGTGGATCTATAAAATAAAATTCAAACCCAACGGATCCATAGAAAGTCACAAGGCTCGTCTTGTGGCAAAGGGCTACACACAAATGGAGGGCGTCGACTTCCATGATACCTTCGCCCCTGTGGCCAAATTGGTCACTGTTCGGATTCTTTTAACTTTAGCCATCAAAAACAACCGGATCATTCACCAATTGGATGTGAACAACGCGTTCTTGCACGGTGATCTCGAGGAAGATGTTTACATGAAACTACCCCAAGGGTTCGGTAAGGAAGGCGACAATCGGGTGTGCAAGCTAAAAAAAATCCTTGTATGGCTTGAAACAAGCTAGTCGAAACTGGTATTACAAATTCACAGCCGCTTTACGAGATATGGACTTCAAACCTTCGCATTCAGATCACTCCTTATTTGTTTACAAAACCAAGACCAGCTTTGTTGCGGCTCTCATCTATGTCGACGACGTCATTATTGTTGGTAATGACACAACAAAGATTGAGAGCACCAAATCCGACCTTGATGCTCGGTTTAGCATCAAAGATCTTGGTAGCCTAACGTATTTCTTGGGCATCGAGGTATCACGTACCAAAGAAGGTTTAGTTTTGAGCCAAAGAAAGTACACCTTGGATATTTTGGAAGATGCAGACATGCTTGGCTACAAACCTTGCAAGTTTCCTATGGAACGGAACCTTAAACTTGATAAAGGAGATAAGGAAGAACGTGTTGACCCTAACACATATCGTCGTCTTGTAGGTCGTTTACTCTACCTTCAAGCGACACGTCCAGACATCACTTACTCAGTAAATGTTCTGAGTCAGTTTGTTTCAGACCCCAGAACTAATCATTGGCATGCAGCGATGCGTGTCTTGCGATACCTCAAAACAAGCTTGGGTCAAGGTATTCTTCTACCCCGAGAAGGGTCACTGGATTTGGTGGCTTATAGTGATTCCGATTGGCTTGGTTGCCCCTACTCTCGACGTTCTAGGATAGGTTATTTGTTGCTTTTGGGTGGCGCACCTATTTCATGGAAGTCAAAGAAGCAGTCAGTTGTGTCCCGGTCCTCGGCTGAGGCAGAATATCGAGCAATGGCCACCACTGTGAGCGAAATTTTATGGGTCCGTTGGTTATTGTCGGAACTTGGCATAAATGTTCGAGAAGCCACTCCTCTCTTTTGTGACAATCAGTCCGCCAAACACATTGCTCACAATCCTATCTTTCACGAAAGAACTAAACACGTGGAGATGGATTGCTTCTTTGTTCGTGAAAGAGTAGAGACCAAAGAAATAGCTCCAACTTGGCTCCACACTCATCATCAGCTCGCAGATCTTCTCACCAAGCCACTGGGTTCAGACAGACTACACTCCCTTCTTGTCAAGATGAACATTCGGAATCTCCATGCTCATCTTAAGGGGGGTAAAGGATATATTCTGTCATATCTTCTATTTTTATTCCTTGTTTGAGTTTCCTAGTTTATTCCTCTTTTCTAGCTAGGTTCTCTTTTAAATGATCGGCCTGTATTCTTTCTCTCTTCAATGAAAAACAGAAACTGGTTTGGCTTATAGAATTTTTCAATTGGTTGCCAAAACTATCTTTCTCACCACATTTTCTGGCTTTTCAAAGATTTGTCTCTACATGAAGAAGATAAAATAAATAAAGATTAAAAAAGTTTAGTTTTTTTTCAATAATGTTATTAGTCTCTACCTGTTCTGAGTTGGCCATAGAGCCATGACATGCAAGCAACAAAACTCGATTTGAATCCCCCAAGAGATGATATAGAATCCCGTGTCTTAGCATCTTCCCTGAAAAAATAAAAATATATATATTTAAACATAAAGCACTCTCAAATATACAAAAAAGAAGATAATATACATGTATATTTGATGTTAGGAATCAAGTAAGTGTACTGTTGTAGTTATCTTTTCAATTTTCTGCATTAAAAGAAAAGGGTTTGGGTATATAACACTCTCAAATATACAAAAAAAAATACTACAACATTCCAGCAACCTTTTTTCTCAGATTGAACTTTGTGCATGATATAACATATATCTTGTGAGTTCATCAACATGAGTTCTTCTTGAGTGAATTTGTGTAGGTCACCCCTGCAGAATATAAATAAAAGAATTTGTTGGTTTATGTTGTTTTATTATTTGAAAATGAGGGTAGGGGTATAGAATATTACGCCTGTTAATGCACTCCAGCAGTCTTGGAGTTGATCTTCTTAAAGCAGAAGTCATCTGGATTCTTGAATGTTGCATTTTCCTTGAGTTTCTGTTATGAATTTTCGTAATCATGTCATAATTTTAGTTATTTTGAATAAGAATTATAAGATTACTATATTTCCAAAGAAAAAGTAGTTTTAATTTTACTACATGCAATAGGGGTTGCTGTAATCCATACCATGGAGCAACAAATTGTACTGAAAAATTCTACAATATGGCTTCTATAAATGGCTGTTAGAAGACAACTAAAAATCTAGTGTATTCAGAACTTTCGTTCTTCTGTCTTGGCTGAACAAATAGATCCATATTTAGTAGCATCAGATACCAAATGGTAGTGCATTATTCACTATAAGTCGATTTAGGGCTGAAAAACATAAATTGGGAATACCTGAGATTGTGAGATGACGAACACGTGAAATGAGAAGGGAAAACCAACCGAAACAATCATCCGTCTTCTTTGTTTTCTTCGTTAAGAAACCCTTTCCCCCACCCAAAAACCTGCAACCAAGCCACATACAAAATATGTGAAATTTTGAATGGGTCATCAAGAGGAAGAAAAAAAACGGTGAAGGTGAGAGGCGGAATCTTCAAACCTGAACAGTTTTAGCATATTGCGAGAGTGTAAGCCGGAAGATGAAGGAGATGGTGAGGGGCTGTAGATGGCGACGGTGTTGACGGTGGATATTCATGACATAAGGGTGCGACTATATACAAAATAATTTTGCCTTCAATCGATATGTATTGAACTATAAAAGAGATTGGTGAATTGATTTGTGATATTGCGGTTTTACTTTCGATTTTTCCAGATCCAACCTTAATCTTTCATTTGTGCTTCTATTTACCAAAATCCAGTATTGATCTTTCACTCTTTGTTGTTCATACAGATAATATAGGGATGCGACTAAGGTAAACAGACGATTAAGGTTCTTGCAAGGGTTGGAGCAGAATTAAGGTTAAGGTTTCTGTGATTTTTAGGTTAAGAATGCAATCCGAGTTTGGAAACTATGGAGAGGTTATGAAGCCTCGTAAGTATTTTTCAAAAGAAACCCTGTTTAATTTAACATGACGTCAGCAATTTTGTGCAATTTGATCGAATGGTTGAAATAAATTAAGGAAACACTATGAATGGCTCTGATGGTTGAAGGTGATGTCATCAAGTTTTCTCTTTTAATATATATAAAGATGTTGAATTTCAAAATGTAGTTAGGATAGATAATGTAGAACATTTTAGGAATATTTTTTAAAATTTAAAATTAGGATAATGTTGATGGTTAGTTTGAAAAATGATAATTTTTATAACAGCCCAAGAATATATTATTTACCAAAACAACCCATGACTTTACATTTAATACCAAACAGCCCCTACTACATACTGTTTATTATGTAAGCATTTTACTTTGAAAAGTGTACAAATTAAGACATTGTGTTTTCATTTTTCTTATTAAAGACATATTTCATTTGGAAAAGCCATGTACTTTATTTAATTATTTGTTTGTCATTGCAGGTATGTTATTTTTGTTTTTTTTATAGAATTGCATGTAAATAGTTTGTTACGAACAATAAAAAAAATTATTTTTATAAAATCTTGTTTATGGAATAACAAACTAGTGACTTAAGCCAAAGATTAAGGAGATTACCTTTAAACTTAAAACAAATTGACAATAATAGACTTGGTCAACATAGTTTGTTATTTAAGTTGAGGTGAAAATATATCAAAAGATGTAAAAATTAAAATTCATAAAAAGAATTCAACATAACTATGAACTTGTCTCAAATAACACGACTACTATCGTGTTATAATTAAATGAAAACAAACATAATCTTCAAAATGAAAACAATGTACTTTTCAAAGAAATCCTTAAGCAAATAATAAAAACTCAAAGAAAAATCGTCAATGATAAATGTCAAATAATCATAACTGCTAAATTTATTCTAGTTTTTTCATTTTTGGAATCTTAAGGGTATGTGGAGCAACACCATCTTTTGAGGAAGACCATTCAAACGATTCAGTGGTGCTAACAATCTCAATAGGGCATTTCAGGGAAGTAGTCACCGCATCAAGATCAAAAACATTAATATTGTCACCTTCAACAGAAACACTCTTTTCCTGTATCAAATTAATAAAACAATGTTAATTAACAACATTAATATTGTAACCGCATCAAGAATAAATGTTTATTAACAATGTTAAAAATACTAAATTATATGAATTTAATTTTACCTTAATAGACTTGTTGATAGGAGTACCATCAGAATGAATATTGTTTTCTTCGTATGCAGGTGAATGTTTGAAAACTACACCAACTACAAGTTCATCATCAGTCATCTTATGAACGGTGTAGGCGTGATAATTGTTCTCGATATTAAACTTTGAAATCTGAACTTTAAAAACAAACTTCCTATTAAGCATGGTATTGAACTCATCGGGTATCTTTTGGCGTCCTTGATCCTAAAGAATATTATAATAAAACATGTGATAATTAATAAATCCCGATTAAAATAAAATGCAATAACAATATACAGTTAAGTTGTCGTGTGTAAAAATTAATAGAATAATATAATATAACGCTACCTTTGATATCTTTTCCATCAACCAATGATTACCGCGGTGAATAAGATCTTTAACATGACGGTCAAACAATACAAAAGAAGCAGACTCAGTTTCATCTTGAACACGTATTACGACCCTTACCCTAAATATTGTTGTATGACACGTTAATGGATAATGTAATAAAAATTGAAACATTGTAATAAAGATTCATGAGACAAGAAGTTTACAAATGTAAAATTATGAACTTACTTGCCGAATACATCAGAAACTCCTCTGCAACCATTACAATTAAATGGTTCACCATCCTATCATCACCATTTTTAGTTACCTTTTTTGAATAGTCACGACAATAAAAAGAATACCATCCTTCCTCCAAATCGAAACCGATTATAGTAGCAATAATAGACAAACCAATTTCCTGATTGGTAAAAATACATATATATATATATATATATATATATATATATATATATATATATACACACACACATTAAAAAAATTATTATATATAATGGAAAAATATGAATAATATTAAGTATACCTCATTGTAATCTGGAATATCATCAATGTTTTTGATTTGAAAACGGAGGTAATAATCTTCTGGCTTGGCCACAACAGTTTCTGTGTTAAGTTGTGTAGTATTAATGGAAGACTCAACATTCAAATCGATATCAGCAATGCTACATATTAGAAGGAAAAATGAAGATGATCAACAATAATAATAATTATTGATTAAGAATAAGTAAAATAAAATAGTAAATAATTATATCATAGTCATGAAATACATACGCCTTTTTAAATTCTGAAATATGATGCATATAATCATTAATATGCAATCTCGACCCAAATAAACAGTTACCGACTTGTGGCTGACCTATAAATAGTAATTGAAGTAATAGATTATTTCATATTATAAATAAAATATTAATGTAATGAGCATAGACATCTAAAAATAATTATTCTTACCACCCCAAGTCTTGAGCTTTTCCATACGTAGGAGGATGATCACAGGAGCATTTTCATTTTGATGTTCAGATATGTAGCTGTTCAACTTCAATGCAAAACCATCCCACAATGCAACTTGCATTTTCCTACCACTATAATTGATAGTTTGGGTTATATAAATAAAATATTAAACATGATAAATTAATGAAAAATAAAGAAAAGTACCTCAGATCTTTTGCAACAATACTCAATAGTCTTGTTTCCCTTGCATTCTGCTTAATCACTTTCATGGGTTCAGTAGATACAACTTGACCAATAAAATCTACAAAAAGTGCATTTGAATCAATTTTTATAATATAAATTGGTTAAAAAAGTATATAATATAATAAATGCAAAACTGTTAAGGGAAAAAAACTCACCAAATGCAACACGAGTGTCAAAATTTCTGGCTGTAAGATCATCAAAACTCACAAAATTAAAAGGATCGATCCTATCAATAAAAGGAGTTGATACACGAATTGTGGTTGTTTTTTTGAAATTTATCTTATGCTTGTGAGCAACCAACATATAATCTCCTTCGTTTCTGGCCATACCAAAATTAGTGATTTGCCTTACAGCTCCTTCTTCCAAGAGGGCTTCAAATACATTAATGAGATTTTTTTATTGTCGCATGTATTCTAGTGCATTGTAGGTGATAAAGAATATTATTATATGAAACAAAAATAAAACATAAGTTTTTTTCATATTATTTTAATCTTACCTCCTGGTCCATTAAAATCATGTCCAAGCTGCTGATCATGTTTGGGTTGTTTTTGTATGCCTGTTTCCAAATCATGACAACTTGAACACGAATATTCCATGATTCTTTGGAGGCATCTATGTCAGCCAACTTATTAATGACGATTTCACTGTCACTGTTATGTGTCATTTCGATTGTGCTATGAGAAATAGAAAAGTATTAGAGATAATTATGAGATATAGTGAAAAATGTAATTCAAAGATTCACAAGGTTTTTGTTTAATGTAAATATGATGTTGTTCAATAAACATAGACATTCTTGGTTGGCATACTTAACCATGAAAAAAACAAAAAATAAACATTAATTGTATTTTGCAAAATAATAGTTGGCTGCAATTATGGATTAATGGAAGTAAGATGGTATCAAATCAAAACATACATAGTATGTTGATATATTTCACAGAAAACAACAAAGCAAAACAAAATGAGTATGAACACTTATCATATAGAAGGTTGTAGAAAGGAAGAAGGTATTGATAAACAATGAAATGCGTGCCTTTTTGCCTTTGATCAACCAAGCTAACAATTGTTTACTGCTATAGAAGGCTGTAGAAAGGAAGAAGTATTGATTTAGTATCGTGAATATCAATATAAACGAAGTGGTAAAAACATAGATAAAACACAATAAAATCCCCACGTTTTGCAGGAGCGTGGAAGGAAAAATAAAAATGGGTTTTGGCGTTATATGTCATATATATATATATATATATATATATATATATTATATTATATATATATATATATATATATATATATATATATATATTGAATCCAAGTTGGTTTGGAGGGATAAGATAAAAGTCATTTTTATCTTATCCATTAAACGTTGAATTTCAAAATGTAGTTAGGATAGATAATGTAGAACATTTTAGGATTATTTTTTAAAATTTAAAATTAGGATAATGTTAATGGTTAGTGTATTGAATCCAAGTTGGTTTTGGAGGGATAAGATAAAAGTCATTTTTATCTTATCCCTTAAATGTTGAATTTCAAAATGTAGTTAGGATAGATAATGTAGAACATTTAGGATTATTTTTAAATTTTCAAATTAGGATTTGATGGTTAGTTTGAAAAAAAGATAATTTTTATAACAACCCAAGAATATATTATTTACCAAAACAGTCTATGACTTTACATTTAATACCAAACAGCCCCTACTACATACTGTTTATATATGTATTATTTACCAAAACAGCTCATTACTTTGAAAAGTGTACAAATTAAGACATTGTATTTTCATTTTCTTATTAAAGACACAATTCATTTGGAAAAGCCATGTACTTTATTCAATTATTTGTTTGTCAATTTAGGTATGCTATTTTTGTTTTTTTTAGAATTTCATGTCAACATACTTTGTTACGAACAATTAAAAAAATTATTATTATAAAATCTTGTTTGTGGAATATATTATACGATATAATCCCATAATTTAAACCTAACAAAAAGTTGATAAATGGAATGTTGAATATATTTTTAAAAATTAAAGATAATGTTAAGCTTTACCAAGTTAAAGATAATATTGAATATATTATACGATATAATCCTATAATTTAAGTGTAACAAAATGTTGATAAATGGAATGTTGAATATATTTTTAAATATTAAAGATAATACTAATCTTTAACATTTTAAAAATAATATTTAATATATTATAAGATATGATCCCATAATTTAAGCCTAACAAAAAGTTGGAAAATGGAATATTGAATATATTTTTAAAATTAAAGATAATGATAGTTTTTTACCAAGTTCAGATATATTAAATTTCTATTATACGACATAATCTCATAACTTAAGCCTAACAAAAAGCTAATAAATAGAATATTGAATATATTTGTAAAAATTGTATAAAAAATTAATCTGTCACAATACATAAAAAAATTGATCCAAGTCACGATTGATTGATTGTGGGCATATGTATCCATTTCTGATGAAATATAAATAAATGACGAAAAGACCCATGTCACAATTTGTCTATATAGGTATGTTTTTAAAAGTGTTGGTCATTTCTCCCTAAGTGATTTTGAGTTTGTTCTACGGGCAAACAATGGTTCCTTCGATATTTTAGTTTCATAATTTTGTATTTTACATACGAAAATAAAACATGAGTTTATGATTAAAAGAATAAATAAAAAAACTAATAAATCATAGAGTAATATAAAATATTTAAATACTTCATTACAAAAAACAACTATCTACTTGGCATAATCACTTCATCAAAATCAGAACGGATTAAAAAAACTTGTTGAGAAGGATGTGTCGGAACCACATACTCAATTGTATTTCCTTTATAGAAATATAGAGTATTGTTTCTATAATCCCACCATTCATGTGCACCTTCATTGTAAGCATTAACATCTACTTTAACCCACCGATTGTGAATGAAAACCCAAATATCCCACAAAAACGATCTCCAATTATAGAGAAATATCCCAATTTTCCGTGAAACTTGATCCGTCGATTGCATCTGGTTTGAAGTCATTATAGTAGAAGGGCAAAATATGAGTATATGTTCGGCCGAATAAATATCAAATCGCAATATGGTGGTCGTTAGCTAATAAGAAGTAAACGACACCGCCACTTATAACGCCTCATCAGAAACAGGATAAACAGCTGATGGTAACTGGATTTTGAAACTCCTCCATTGCCCGGTAGCAGACGAAAACAATTCTATGTTGTAGTAATCGTAGTCCACTTTTTTACGCATATCACTACAAAAAAACATAAAAAACATATAAGTAAAAAAAAGTAAATTAATAACACTAAAATATACTACATATAAACTCTTACGATGGCATTGTGTATGAATCGAATGACCTTGAATGTAAAGGGTTTGAACTGATAACTACAAAGCAAACTTTACCACCGTGTATTCAGAGCTTGGAAACGGTATCCATTTGGCATCTGTAGTCGTTGGTTCAAAACAAATAAACCTTTGAAATGTATTCCATTGGCTCATAGGATTCAGCAAGAAGGAGTCCGCACAAGGATGATGCTAAAATCGTACAAGTATTTGGTAGCCAATCAATGTCAAGATTGCTTCTAGCAGAAGACGGAACAAACTGACGCTCTATATTTTTCCATGGTTTTTTTTGTTGAACGATAACTCCACAAACCAAATTATTTCTACGCTTGTGGTTATGAAGAACCTGGTGTTGTATGTTAGATTCCATAATATTTTTTGTACAACGCATAGTAACAAATGTTTGTAATGATGTTCGTGAAAGAATTTCAATAATTAGTTCATAACTCAATAATGATAACTACAAAAGAAAGAAATAATAAGATAATAATATTAGAAAATCTGAAATATAATCTTTCATGACAACGAATTGAAATGTAATAAATATACTGTTTGTAGTATTGATCATATAGAATTTTACCCGATCCATTTTCAATATTTTTTCCAATTCATCAATGATTGTATTGTTAGACGTGATCCTTGAGATAGCATAACCTTCTGTTTTGTTCTTTAAATTGTCATGTGAAATTTGAATTTTTAACGCCAACTTTTTTTCCAATAGTATATTCAGAGTAGATGGATAAATTTCGTTATTACCATCCTAAAAAAAGAACGTTTATAAAAATAAATATACAAAATAATAAATTTGTTTTATGTAAATTAAGTTAATATCGATAACCTCATAAAACTGATGAACCAACTCTTGTGTGTTTTTTTTATAAGCTTCTTTGCGTCACAATCAAATAAGGTAAGTGCCACCGAACCGGTAATATCTTCAACTATAATGGTGATTTTAAAACTGAAAACGTTGATATAAACAGATTTAGTAATATAAATTTATATAATTTAACAGAACAATATAATAATATTTATAAAATAAGTTTCAAAACTGGGAACAACAGAAATGACTTTCCGTGCAGGTTGAAGGTTACAATAAAAAACTTGTTTATCTTGAAACAGATCATCATGGATAAAAATTGGTTTTACGGCTTTCTGTTGACATGTAGTACAAGTAAAACAATACCATTCCCCTTCAACACATACTTGTTTAATTGTACCCACAACAATCAAAGTTTTTTCCTGAAAAATGTTAATGGAAGTTTAAATTTTAGTATAAAATAATAATAATCAAGGATTAAGATATAAATAATACAAAACCCAATTCACATAATTTATGTTGTGTAAATGAAAGTGATGTATATAAACCTGATGTACTTGTTGGAGATCAGCAATACTATGGAAATCAAAGTTATGAAGAAAATCTTCATTTTCAGAGCACATGATCAAGGACGAAGGGTTGCTACAATTAGCAATTGTGCTTTGAGCCATTTGTCTGTTTCTGGACAAAATAATGATTGTTTGAAGTTAAATGTTTATGAAGTATATGAGCTTGGTGAATGTGTGGGTCATGTATCTATTGTAGGTATAGAACCATTAAAACTACAATACAATAAAATACAAATCGCTTTTACAAAATTAAAAAGAAATCTAGATCAATGGTGCATTAAAATAATCACAATCACTTTAACAATTAATGTATACGAATCATAAGATAATGTCAAACAAAATTATCCTCAATTTTGTTATTTTCGAATATGGAGTTGTATAAATTTTTAAATTTTGATTATGCGGAAAAATAGTTATTCATAAGATAAGACAATGGTAAACTTTTAGTCCACAATTCTACATCGATTAATTGATAATGCTTGAGCCCTCTCAGTTATTTTAAAAAAACAATTATTATTATACAAATATCAAAACAATGAGTCAACAAAAGTACGAGAATTATAAGGCCACGTTTACTTTATAACCGCCGCCTTTACCTATTTCA